ATTAACCCTTATTTCCAGAATAAGGGGTAGTTTCACTTTAAGCAATATTTTTTTTTCAGTACGGGGGAAATTTGGGCCAAAAGGTGGGGGGGTTACCTGCGGGGGGGGGGGGGGGGGGGGGTACTTGGGTTACTATTTGCTGGGTATGTGCCGCTGGCCTCTCAGTCCTCTCAGTGCCCCTGCCTCATTATAGTTTATTTGGTTATTTTGTGGTCAATCATAGACCCCATCTTAGTCACTTTTGGGCAAATATGTAATTTTCGCGATCCCAACTTAGCAGTCACTTTCTATTTATGTATCTACCTTATATTGCATGAAAAACACTTAACTTTTCACCTACGGTACAAACATTCTGGTACTAAACGTTTGCCAACCCAAAATATGAAGAACTGTCTTTATACCCCCAAATCAGAAAATGTGCGACGCCATTCTAGTAACCCTATTGAAAGTGCGACCCCATCATAGTCAATCCAGTCGTGAAAATGCGACGTGATTCAGCGTCACACCTCCATTAGCCTCTTATCAGGAGGACCCCTCCCCCCACCCGCCGGGGGAGGAATAGCGCCATCGTTTGACCTTTTTAAGAGGTATTGCTATGTGAATTGGGTCTAAATGCAAAAAAAATGGTTTTGTCAAGAATGGCCACTTGCAGGAGCCCATCAATGGGCTCCTGCCACTTGCGATGTTGATGCGATGGGCAATCGGAACCCAATTCCACCTTTCAAGAAACCAGGAGCTCGTTTCTCGAAAGTCCCGATAATTGACGGGCCCGTAAAGCTGGTTTGGTTTACATCTACGATAGAGGTTTCAACAGTTTTGCATCTAACATGATAAAACTGTCAGTTAATGAAATAAAATGGAGTAGTTTGCTTGCCAGGACCCACGCTCTTATTCTTTTCATTTCGATTTGAATATATTTGATTTTACCGGGACTTTCCAGAAACGGGCCTTCTAGCCCTTGGTCGACCTGGCCAACTCGTATTCAGAGTCCTCGGGCTCTATGGTCAGCAGGCTCTTCCTAATACGGGTGGCTACCAAGCACAGAAGTCGAACCGTGGTTTCTCTGTTCTGGAATGAGGTAAAAGTTAAGTGGGTTAAAGTGAAAATTGGTCTTGAAGGTAATGCATTTATTCCTCAGAAATGGTTAGTAATGGCTGGGGACATTGTTGCCATATCGAGGATCATGATCAAGAAAACCTGGTGAGTGATGATATTTGCTAGCTTGCTTCTTCTGTTAGCTTCTGTTTGTTTACAAACATATGCATATGATCCTAACTTTGACATCTTCCGATAAAAAGATGCCAACGTTATGATATAGAGCGCCGAACGGCGGCTTAACGCCGAATAACCCTGAAGTTCCGTGATAACTGTAAGGAAACCAAGTGAACCAAGTTTAGGCCAGTTTGATGAATGAGGCTGAGTATCTTATGAAGAGTTATGGAGATCGAGGAGGGTGTTATGTGGTTAATTCTTCATATGATACGAAAGCCGAATTCAATAATTGTTTTATTATTTATTCAAAATAATTCCTAGTTTAAAAACATAGCTAAAACATGCTTACCTCCATCGATCCATCGATGTTAAGTTCATCTTCGATAGTGCATGTTTAGGGTTGTTCAGCTCCGCAAATATTCTCCAAATAACAGATGTCGGCCTTTGAGTTGTGTTCTGTCTGTTCTTGCCATGTTTTTAGCTATTTTTTTGCCTAGTTCTTACTCTTGAAACAAGTGAAATGTCTGCCATTTTTGTTTCCACAACCAAAACAACTCAACCTCATCCCCAGGTCTTCTAGGTTAACAATGCATTAACCTGCAAAAACGCTGCATTTTTGATGTCATTTCCTCGTTAAACACAAAATTCTTCTAAATTTGGTCATCAGCAACTGGTTATGGTGAATTATGCATGTGCTTTTAGCCAATCAGAATCGGGGAAATATTTTGAATGAATAATAATAGCAATTAATGAATGAGGCTGAGTAGCATATGAAGAATTAAGCAGATCGAGGCCCTCCAAGATCTGCTTAATTCTTCATATCCTATGAAAGCCGAATTCATTAATTGCTTTATTAGTCATTCAAAATAATTCCTAGTTTAAAAACATAGCTAAAACAAGCTTACCTGCATCGATGTTAAGTTTATCTTCAATAGTGTACGTTTAGGTTTGTCCAGCTCCGTAAATATTCTCCAAATAGCAGATGTTGCCCCCGGATTGTCTTCTTACTGTTTTTGCTATGTTTTTAGCCACTATTTCGCCTAGTTTCAGCTGTAGTTCTTACTCTTGAAACAGGGCTCGACTTTCAGAAAAAAATCTTGGGGCCAGCTGGCCTCTAAGTTTTCATTTTTGGTCGCCAGGACAAGTATTCTAGTCGCCAAAAATTATCTTCAAGAAAAAATAGCATACAATATACTTAAGGTCTCTTTAACCTCAACAAAATCTTCAATAAGTTACCTTCTACAAAACAGGCTACATAACCCCTACAATGGCACTTGTTATAAAATTCATTTTTACGCATTTATGTATTCCGTTACCGTTAAACTAAGGGATAGCTAACGGCTTTTCTAACGCTCTAACGGCTTGTCCCAACGCTCTAACGATTTGTTCTAACGGATTGCCCTGACGATCTAACGGTTGATTCTTAGCAGCTAACGGTTGGTCAGTCTACTTGTAAGAGAAAATCACCGGTGATGAATTCGATTCGACGGAAGTCTTTTTTAAGACTTCTGTCAAAATTAATCGGGCAAATCGATCGCAGTTTTCAACAGGTCCCTTGTTTGTCCGGGAATAAATTTTAGCGCATCGATTAACAATAATTCCTTTATGTCGAACATGTATGTAGATTGCGGACTCGATTGCAGATTAGTCTGATAAAAACTTAAGAGAACAAACGTCTATCTCGGGCTTCTTGTAAACTACTTTTTTATGCAAATTTATGTTGACATTTGAGCCCTTCACGACAAAGCGTTACGTGACGACCCAAGTGAGAGCTTTGCTGCATTTTATTGACTTCTAATAAAGTATCGTTGAAGTCAGACTTCTTGAACAGACTTCTAGTCAAATCAACTTTTGCCCGAAAATACTGACGATCTGTTTCTTTGTTGTGAAGGAGACTTTCGATCACGTGCTAGGCAACGAGATAGATCATGTTTCACCGATGTTCATTTCTGAACATCAATGCAAATATGGAACGGCAAAGCGAATGTTTGCAGAGTTGTTTTTTCATAGCCCAAATGAGTTTTTTTCTAATACAAAAAATTTTTTTAACTGCAAGTGTATTTCATTTCCTGAAGCCTGAATAACTGTTTGAGGAAATTTACGCTTCAGTATTTACCTTAAGAGATTTTGGACGCCGCCCGCAGGTATGTGAGTTGACCGATGCTGTACGATGCGAACGGACATTAAAACGGGCAAAAATCGTGCGAAAGGAAGCCTTAAAACATCGGTTACAAGCTCTTACAGAATAATTTTTCTAAAGCGATGGTGTTACAGACCCACTAAAAGACAGTCTCCGTTGCCCGTTGGAACTTCTTCAACAGTGTATTTCAGTATAAGATCGACGGACGATCTAACGGATACGGATGAGTTGCTAGCCTAAAGACTGAATTGCCAAACGCCTCGAACGATTTTTATTGATCTGTCTAACGGATGACTGACGGATAGCTAACGGTCTAACCATTTAACGGAGTATCGTTAGTGTACGTTTTCCCAAAGAAGGTCACAAATATCATGGGGGCCAGCCTGGCGACCAGGCGTGAAAAGTTAGTCGCCACTAAATAAAATCAAGTCGCATTGGCGACCCCAGGTGTCGCAACGTCGAGCCCTGTTGAAACGAGTGAAGTGTCC